CAATATCTGGAATTCATTCCAGTCCTTTTGGTTTTCTTGAGAGGTTTGGATCACCTCTTTGGCCCAACCCTGGGCAGCACACACATTCCCTGCCCTCTAGATCTCAGCCTGCCCACATTTCATCGTGGCTGTTTCTTCTGGTGACTGTCACATGGCACCATCATTTCCAAAACTGCTAAGGTCAACCAATTGCACTGGGATCTCTTTAGGAACTCTAGCCCTGTGACACACTGGTAAAACTCAGCTGTGCCTCATGATCAGTGACCAGAGAGCTCAGATAAATTCTGAGCCCCAGCCATAAATGCAGCAATGGCAAAGGTGGTGACTGGCTACGTCAGCAGCCGAGACAGCAAAAATATTTGACCCATTTCTAGCTCAGCTCCATGCCTGCAACAAAAGTTATGAACACACCAGAAAATACAGACAAAACTTTCTAACAAAACAGAGAGACACAGCTCTCTAGACAGACAGAACTTTCCAACAAAACAAGCATATACAACTGTCTTGAGAACTAGACAAATTTTTCCAACAAGACAAAACTTTCCCCAGGGAACAAAACTTTTCAAGCAGAAAAAGGTGGGTGGTTGATATCTTACTATATGCCCTGGATGGGAGAATACTGACAGAACCCACTCCACATCCCAGAATGGGATCCTACAAAACAGAAGCAAACCATGCCTCACCAGGAGGCCCCCATAGATGCTTGTTGCTTTTCTCAGCATGGCAGTTCATTCACTCTGATAGTCCAAGAGCTGAAGGTGACCTCAGAGCCTTGGAACATCTCAAGGCCCTTCAGTTGCGGAGTTCTGGATTGAAGGTCCAGCTTTAGAATTTGGGTGGGTGATCTTAATCTCACTGGGGCCTCCAGAAAATGTTAATCTTACTGATCGGGACTAAGACTACTACTACAGTTTAAAGTCAAATTTGAAGCAAGCTTTAATTAATTAAATACCCAGCTTCCCAAGAAATGACCAGGATCAAGTATGTCAAGGGCTTAAGAAGGAAAACCCATAATTCATTTCATTTCCAATCAGAGGCAAGCATATATCCTGACATATTTCCTGCCTCCATACCCCCCACCCACATGTGATCAAGCACATCTGGTGCAGATGGGTCAAACAAACTTGTTTAGGAGAGTGAAAACATAGGACTTGTTACCTCCCATAAACAATAGCCTCCTGCATTTCAGGAACTATCTGTTCTTGGTTAAGGGGCTTTCAGATCAGAGGCATTTTTGTTTCATGGATCTCTAAGGTATAGTAATTAAAACTTTGGCTCTCACACCTGTATCAAAACACACACACACACACACACACACACACACACACACACACACACACACACAAAGAGGTCAAGCATGACAGCCTCTGGTGGAATGGCTTATGTTCCTGAAGGAATGTCATGTGTCAAGGAGGCCAAGGCGACCTTATCTTCTAGAAACCTGGGCCATGCTAACTGCAGACTGAACATCCAGTGACTGAGGGGCTGCACTGAGCAGGTCGCTCCCTCAGTCCCACTGGCTCTTGATCTGTGACCCTCCCTGGGACAGTTAGACATTGATCTGACACTTAGAAATCTTTGATAGGGTATTAAAAGCCATAATTTAGAAAAAAACTCCTAAAGCTTAACCACAAACCACAAAGAACCCATCCTCAAGTGGGCAAATGACAGCCACTAAGACTCTCACAATAGGGAAGTTAAAGTCAAACCCCAGATGAGATGCCCCTTCACATGCATTAGGCTACTTGTCGATAAATGACAAATGCAGAGGACAGTGTTGCCAAGGATGAGGACCAGGAGCAGTGAAGATATAGCTACCAAGAAAGCAGTCTGGCAGATCTTCAAAAGAGCTCAGAACCAAATTAACATCCCAAAGTGATTCTAGTCCTAGATGCATCACAAGGAAGATGAGTGGATGAGATAGGGCTTGTAGTGGAGACAGACAGGGAGGCTAGGGTCCTAGTGTGTGACCCCACCCTCACTCCATGTGCTCCGGTGCCTCAGTTTAGCCTGAGTGTTGGAGAGCTGTTCTGTCTGTACATCTCTCCACTCTGAGCTGATTGCAGACTTGTTCAGGTGACACACTGAATCTGGGCACCAAGGACTGAGGCAGAGCCCAGATTGTGTTTTTCCCTGGGGTACCACAACATATTCTATGCACGTACATTCATGCTCTACCCCCACCACACATGTCCTCACACCCCTGGGATCTAACAAAACTGGGATTGCATGTCAAGGATCTGCCCATTATCTGACAGTATCTTGTTACTAAAATTCCTTCCCTGAGAGAGACATAAACAATGTCTACTCTCCCCTCCCAAGGTCGCCAACATCAAACTGTTATGATTCCACTAATGTTCACTTGGAACCAATGAATTTGTGGGTCTTCCTTATAGATCAGTGGCTCTCAATCTGAGGGTCTTGATCCCCTGAGGGTTGCCTAAGACCATCGGAAAACAGATATTTACACTGCAGTTCTTACAGTAGCAAAATCACTGTTCTGAAGTAGCAACGGAAAATAATTTTATGGTTGGGTCACCACACCATGAGGAACTATATTAAAAGGTCACAGCATTAGGGAGGTTGAGAACCACTGTTATGGAGCATGGGTGAGGGGTTACTTACAGGAGTGTGGGTGGTTTCTCCCAAAGGCCACTTAGAAAGCCTTTACTCAGCAGAGATGATGGCTTTCCTATAGTCACATAGATGGAGGCCCCTCTCCCAAGACCCAAGACTACATGCCATTAGGGAAGAATAGTATAAAGCTGGTAGGGAGGGGTGGCTGGATACTCTGGAGAGGGTCCCATGACATTTCCCCACCCTTTTTAAATATGATCCAACAGATCCAGCTATGATGGTCTTTTGACTAAGGATAATTTTGTACAACATGTCAGGAGAGGGCCCTAGATGAGGCCCAAGCTGGTCTGAACTGGTGGGCAGCCTGGGAAGCAAGGGCTGGGATGTATCATGTGAGCACAGGGGTAAGCAAGGGCTGGGATGTATCATGTGAGCACAGGGGTAAGCAAGGGCTGGGATGTATCATGTGAGCACAGGGGTAAGCAAGGGCTGGGATGTATCATCATGTGAGCACAGGGGTAAGCAGCGTCAGCTCCATGAAGAGCTTGTGGCAGTCTGGTCTCTCCTTGAAGCAGCTTTGTAACCCCTCATGCCCTCTGAATGGCAAACTGTCTCTGGTCTCATACATCTCTTGGCCGTGCTGGGGAGAGGGCACTGCAGGAAAAGCAGTCACATTTTTGGCTGGTGAAAGGGCAACGGGACCAGGCGGGTTCCCCCACTGATTGAAACCGGACGCTCCTGATTGTTTGCTCTTTGCGAGCTCAGCTCCAGGAGGAGAAGATGCAGGCAAGGCATGCAGCTGGAAGACTTCAGGTGCTGCAGCTCCCACCCTCAGCCTTTAATGTTTGGTGGTTCCGAGGAACTCTCCTTGTTGCCTGGCTGCAGTCTCTCTTCCCTGGGTTTCAGCCTTTCCTCTGCTTCTATTGTCTGTCGAGGTCTCTGTCCACTCTGCCCAACTTGGAGCTCCCCCCTCACCAACCTCCAGCCCTCCCTACCCCCTGTAGCCTCCTTCTACTGTTGCACCAAGCCCAGAACAGGGCACATCGTTGTACCTAAATCCAGAAGGGGCCTAATGTGCAGGAAAGACTGTGGTGGCTGCACAAATAACCGCTTCCTCTTGGCCACCAGCAACTGATTGCTCAGGGGGCTGAGCAGACCCACAGCAGCTGTGGAGGCCTCAGGTGCTGGTGGGTCCTCAGAGGAGAGGCTGGGGCTGTGCCGTGGTGGCAGCGCAAGGGACCTGGTCAATAGTGGTAACCTTGGTGATCCAGAGAACACGTTGCAAAGCTGGGAAATGATGACTGAAGATACTCCAGGGTCCAGCGAGGAGCTGGTTCAGCTAGGTGTGTGTGAGTCACATGAATGAGCCACGGACTTTAGACATTAACTTGCAAGTAAAAGACACATAAAATAGACAGCTTAACCAACTGAATGCAAACGCAACTACGCCGCTGACCAGTTCCAAGTACCAACATGAAATGCCTATTTGTGGAAGAAGACACGTGTAGGTGGACTTTTCTGTTACTCCAGCCAGTTACCAAATAACCATACTGAGACTTATTATTATAAATGCTTGGCCAAAGGCTCAGGCTTGTTACTAGCTAACTTTAAGAAATTATTTATTGCCAGGCATTGGTGGTGTACACCTTTAATTCTAGCACTCGGGAGGCAGAGGCAGGCGGATCTCTGTGAGTTTGAGGCCAGCCTGGTCTACAGAGTGAGTTCCAGGACAATACAGAGAAACTCTGTCTCGAAACCCCCCAAAAGTATTTATTTAAAAGTTTTTTTTCATTTTTCCATGTTCTGGCTATTATAGTTCTTTACTCGCTAACTCTTACATTTTCAGTTAACCCATATGGCTTGTTACCTTTTCTTAGTATGGCAAGTTTATCTCCTGTTTCTGTGACTCCTGAGACTCCCGAGAGAGACTCCTCCTCCTCCTTCTTCATGCTCTCTGTCTGACAGTCCCACCTAACCTCCACCTGTCCATCTATTGGCCAGTCAGCTTTTTTTATTATTAAACTAATCACAATGACATATGTTCACACAGTGTAAAGGAATATTCCACATCTCTTCCTTTAACTAAATTTAACATAGTAAAGTTATATATAACAAAAGCAGTTAGGTACATTATACCCTTCTGGGGTCTTTGATGGAGTTAAAGACTGAATAATTAAATTAAAAGTTTTCCTTAGTTATAAAAGGTAAATTAGGTATAAAATTTTAGACTCGCAAAGATAGAGTTTTTTTCATTTTTACTTGATAACTTTTTGCTGTATATAATTTACTATGTTACAGTTAAAACCTTCCATTTTAATTAGACAAAAAGGGGGAAATGGTGTGGAATAATCCTTTTGTGCACATTGAAGATGTGTTGCTTTCATTGTTAATAAAGAGCTGACTGGTCAATAGCTAGGCAGGAAGAGGTTAGGTGGGAGAGAAAGACAGAGAACACTGGGAAGAAGGTGGAGGCCTAAGGAGAGTGAGCAGGATGGGGAGTACATGCATGAGATAAATGAGTCTGGAACAGCACATAGATTAGTATAAATGGGTTAATTTAAATTATAAGAGCTATCTGAAAATGAACCTAAGCTACCGGCTAAGCATTTATAATAGGTCTCTGGGTGGTTATTTGGGAACTGACTGGTGAGAAAGAAAAGTCTGTCTACAAACATGTTTACTGAGTCTGGTGTAAGTGACTCTGGTCTTAGAACACAGTTCTGGTGACCTGGAGTGACCCATTGTTCTGGATAGTTTTATGTAAACTTGACACAAGCTAGTATCATCTGAAGGGAGAGAACCTCAAATGAAAAAACACCTGGACAGACCCAGCCATAAAGTATTTTCTTAACTAGTGATTGCTAGGTAAGAGCCCAGCCCATTATGTGTGGTGCCACTCCTGGACTGGTGTCCTGGGTTCTATAAGAAAGCAAGATAAGCAAGCCAGAATGAGTAAGTCAGTAAGCAACACCCCTCCATGACCTCTGCATCAGCTCCTGTCTCCAGGTTCCTGCCCTATTTGAGTTCCTGTTCTGACTTTCTTCCTTGATGGACTATGATATGGAACTGTGAGTGAAATAAGCCCTTCCTTCCCAAGTTACTCAGGACATGGTGTTTCATCACAGCAATAGAAATAAGACATCCATTCTACCATGAAAGCAGTTACATGAACATTTTTGTTTGAGATAGGGTCTTAACTGCTAGTTACGCTCTTTGTAGATCAGTCTAGCCCTGAACTCAATGAACCTGCCTGCCCCATCAAAGGTGTGTGCCACCACACCCAGCTCACGTGAACTTTCCATAGTAAAGTGAGTCAGAAATCAGTGCAAGGAACAATAACTCTTGTGTGTAGAGGGGTGCAGTTGTGGACAGGTGAGAATTCTGCTGTGGGACTCACAATGCCATTCACCTTAACCTGGTGTTCCTTAGAAACACAGCTTCAACACGGGTTATTAATCACAAGGACTGATGACAGCCCTGAAGCAATGGGGGCACCTGACCTGCATTCATCCCAACCATCATGGATGCTAGATACATTTATGACAAGCTTTTTCCATTTAGCATCAGGTCCTCAAGATTCAGCTATGCTGCAGCATGCAGCGAGGAAGCAAGAGGTGTTTGTGCATGCACAAAATGTATTTTGTTAAATATTTATTTTATTTATGTATAAATGTTTTTGTTACATGCTTGCAGGTGTCTGGGAGGCCATAAGAGGGTTTCCCTTGGTGCTGGAGTTACAGGTGGCAAAGAGCAGGGATCACTCTTAACTCTGAAGCTATCTCTAAAATTTAGGAGACTGTATTTTGGTAATACTCATCCCTGATCTACCCCTTCCCTCCTTGTCTCAAATTCATGTACTCTTGAAGACTTTTAAAAATATTTATGTGTTTGGATGCTTTGCCTGTTTGTATGTATATACACATGTGCCTGTGCCCTCAGAGGCACACTAATGTTACCTAGTTATCTCTAGATAAACTAGAGATACAGCACTGAGGTTGAGGCAAGTAGGTCTGATGCCAGCCTAGGACACACAGGGACACTCTCTCAAGGTGAAAAAAACCTCTGTTGAGCAGAAAGAATGGGTGAGAATGCTTCTCACACAATGTATGTGCCTTTCTAAAAAAAATTAAGAATAGAGATTTGAAGTACAATTTTGACTTGGTTTTGGTTCTGGTCTATTAGACTTTGTTGTGTTTGTATTTAGTGTTTGGTTTTTAGTATCTTTTAATTTTCCCATAGACTCTAGGAAACAGGATAACTCGGCAGGAGGGCTCTGGGGAACCCAAGGTGCCTCACTTTCCAGCTGCCCCACCCTTTGCCTTCATGTTGTCTTCCTCCTGGTCAGACGTGCTTTCTGGGCCTCCAGGGCTCCTCACTCTCACCCTTCCACCTAAGACTTCCTTCATTCCCGGGTACCTGGGACCACAGCCATCCCTGACTTACCTGCACAGCTCAGTTCTGCTCTCTTCTGTTTCCCCTGCTGGAGTCCTGACTGTCTTGGGAGGGGCCACAAGGTTCTTTTCTGTGGGTGTTGGGTGACAAGGTCAGTAAGGCAGCTGGACTCAATCACAGATGAACATGCCTCAGGGACCAACCCAGCCCTTCACCTTAGATTTCTTGATCACAGGTTAGCAGAACTGTTTTCAGGTGGAATGGGGTAGGGCTTCCTAAGGAATGGGATATTTCCATTTCCATTCTGCCATGGGAGGAATCAGGGGCTTGTTGCTTATAGGAGGCAGAGGGAAGGGAAGCCTTGAAGCAGCTTCCTCCTTCCATTTCTCAGGGAAGAGATGCTCATGGCCATTTCCTCACAGTCTTACTTCTCAGCAAAGTCAGCATCCTCATCTCCCTTGAAGACCTGGAGGCTACAAGAGGTGGCTGAGCTGGTGCTGCATGTCTGGAACCCAGCACCATGCTTGCGAATGTTCTTAGCTCTGGGGCCAGACTGGGTCATTGCTGAAGCTCTTGTTTTTTGTCTCACCAGGAAGCAGCCTGGAGTTCATAAACAGTTCCGCCTCCGTTGTTGAAGACAAAAAGAAACGTCCAAAGAAAAGCAAAGGTAGTTTCCCAAACAGGGTAGAGGCTAAGCCTGGCCCTTTTGCTAGGGTGTGTCCAGATGACTCCAGGGTACAGAGCAGAGTGGGGTGTACAGCACTCAACAGAAACACAAGGAGGTTGTAGGGAAAACCCTGAGAGGGCATCTGGGTGACCAGGTCATAATATGTCTTTCTGTCTCACCAGAATTTTCAAATAACAGATTGTCTCATGGTCATGGAAGGGCTGATGTGTCTGACTCAGTTTTCTGTCAAGGAACAGTACAGCCCATGGCGGGCAGAGTCTGCCCACATCAACGTAATCAAGACAATTCCCTACAAACACTATAAATACCACCCTCTCATTACCTCAGCCATGAAGGAAAGGGCCATCCCAGAAGCCCCATCCAACAGTTCTGGCTCACATTCCATTGACCAAAACTCCATGTGGCCATAAATGTGGACACAGCTGCCCTTCCTCTCTCCCAGAGCTCTCTGGCAGCCTTTACCACACTACCCTCTTGCCTTGCAGACCTGTCCTGGAGTTTCATACTGATGGGGACCCTGTGTGCTGTTCATTCCTCTGACTTCCTGGACCCCTGGAGCTCACACTAGGTGTTCACACTAGGATCCGAATCAGTGTAGTAGAGAAAGGCATGGCCTGGGCTTCATGGAGTAGACCAGCATGAGCACAGCTCAGGGCCTGCTCCTGGCTCCCTGGATGGATTTCTGCCTGTTTCTAGGAGCCTCCAGGAATCGGCCTGGCCTGCACCCCACTTGCCCCACCCATAGGAAACCTGTTCAGTTCTATCACTTTTGGGCAGGAGGCTCTGGCTTCCCTCTGGTGTAAAAGGAGCCTGACTGGGATTTTCACACCAGGATAGATGCAGATGGATGAGACAGACACCCAGATTAAACCACAGAGGAAAGTTCATGGGTTTTAAGGACCCAGGAGAAGACTTCAAGTGTGAGACAGAGGCTATTTTTTCCTTCTCCAGTGCATGTGACTATATCTGACTCAAGTAACCCTTTCCACATACCAGGGGATGTGGATTTCTTCTTGTATAGAGAGCAGGAGCAGAATAAAGCCATTGAAGTAAGTATCTGGGCCTGGGACAGCCTCTCCTGAGAAGCTTCCCTCCTCAACTCACTCTCCATCCAGAACAATCATTGGCTCACTTTTCCTACAAAATAAAGTGCAGACCCTGCCTGGCTCTGTCGCCTCTAACCTGTTTCATGACAATTGGGCCTTAGTCAGATGGCTTCCTCAGCTGCTGTGGCAATCTCTCTTCCTCTTCCCCCTTCCCCTGTGCGGAATGCCATTCTCTCCCAGAATTCTTCTTGTCTTTCAAGACCAGTCTCACACTTCACAGGTCCCCTTCTATGAACCTCGCCCCTGCTTAGAATCCCACAGGGAGTGCCCCAACCTGTTTACTTGCTCCTCAGCTTGTTGCCTCTTGTTTTAGCCATGTGACCTGGAGTCAGGGCAGCACTGGATCCCACAGCCCAGCATAGGAACAAGCCCAGACAATGCAGTCCACCTGCTGCACCCCTCCCCCACCTGCTGCACCTCTTCCCACCTGATGCACCCCTTCCCACCTTTCCCAGAACTCTCATTGTCTCCTAGTCCCGCCTATCTCCTGCCTCTATTGACCAGAGTTTTATTCATCAACAAATAAGAGAATCATATATACAGAAGGACATCCCTCATCAAGTCCCCACACATCTACTCCGAGAGTCCCTACAGGAGTACTCCCCACTCAGTGGGTCCCAGCAGAAAACAGACTGATGAGAAGACTTCAGTGCAAAGCCCACAATGCTAGACAGCACTTGGGCTTGAGAGCTGCTATAGGCAGGGAGTATCCCCCTCTCCTGTCATCCTGGGATGGATCATGATACCACCCTGTGAGCAGCACAGAGGTGCAGGGTAGTGGAGACAGCCAGCCACCAGTAATCGTCTAGCCAGGTGGCAGGACATCTTGCAGAAGGAACTGTTGGAAACAGATTTAAGTTCCTTAAGTCTTTTGTCAGTTTTAGCAAATCAAATTCTTGGTCTCAGTTAAAGGGGACTTTGGGTAAAGGGACAGATGATGATCTTTTAGCCATGCTGGTACTGTTATCTGACTGCATATTGAAATGGCACCTGTGTTTGGTATAGCTGTCCCTTCTGGGTCCCATCCTCAGGTGGTCATTGTCCTGTTCAACCCTAGAGGTTGTGTGCAAGAACCCACAGTCTCTCTAAGAGCACCAACAGAGTGTGCAGCATAGTGAGTGTGTGTGTCCTCCCTCCCTATGTGTGGGCCTGACAGGAGACGAGAGCCCATCTGACAAGAGCCCAGATCCCATTGACTGCCTGCCTCCCCCTTCCCCTCCCCCAGGAACGTGAGCAAAAGAAAATGCTGAGGGTGCACCAGAAGATGACCTACTCATCCAAGGTGTCCGCCAAGCACACTAGCCTGCGCCGGGAGCTGCAGCTAGAAGAGGAGTCGGAGAACCAGGAGCTGATGACTGAGGCCCGGCAGCTGCACACCTTCCGCAACAATGTTGCCTGGAAGCTGGCCATGACCCAAGGTACAGCACCCTTGCCTTGTGCTGAAGCAGGAACAAGAGAGAGTTTGGAAGAGCCCTCTGTGTGTCTGACACCACATACCTTGAAGAGCTCTGGCTTTTTGGGCCACAATTCCAGGACATGCTGATCATATGGAGACTGCATGGTATGCAGAGGTTGAGGCAAGCTCAGTTTACAGAGGCTTAGGCCCACCCAACAACCAGCAACTCACAGTCAATGGGCAGTCCAACTATAGTGAGGAGGCCATATCTGAAACTTGCCTTCCAGGTCTTGGTCATCTTGGTCACATTGCAGCATATGATAGGTCATGGCCAGCTCTGGACTCCTCTAACTGTGCCAGCCTCATGAGTTGTGGGGGGGTCCTATAATAAGAGAGACCCAAGTTATACAGTCACCAACCATGAGGAGCCTAGCAGTCACCTCTCAGCATCCCAGGGAGCAACTTCCTGGAGCCCCCTTGATGTCAGAACCTACAGGGATGCTCAAATTGTATTTATGCTCCCTTGTATTCTCTGAGTCATCCATAGATGTGTACATTGTGGATTCAATATGTATTCTATATAGACAATTTTTTGTAGTGACGAAGGAATTCTGTTTACTTGTAGTGCAAATGTGGTTCTTTCCCACATATTTCTGATCTGATGGTTGAATCCAAGAAAACCCTACAGATGCTCCAGCCTCTCCCCGCTACTCACCTTCTGGGTCTTATTGCAGAAAAGAATGTGGAGCCTGAAACATTGAATGACTACATGAAACAGAAGCGAAGCATGTTCCTCCTCCAGGTGGGAACGGCTATATCCAGTCAGCCTGTGGCTTGACTCTGGTCCAGCCAGGTACCTTCATGCCTGCTCTGCTGGCCCACAGTATGCCGTGGCAATGAAACGCAATGAAATCCAGCGGCTAGAAATGCTGGCGAACCGGGAGGAGAACAGGCTGGAGAGGGCTGAGAAGTTCCTGGAGAAGGATGCGACCTTGTTTGACGAGTTCCTCAGGGAGAATGACCGTAGCTCAGTGCAGGCCATGAAACTGTGAGCTTTCAGGCCCTTGTGACCTTGCCAGTGAAAACCCATACCCTGGACCAGGTCCAGTCCAAACTTACCCGGACCTGGAACCTCGAGCCCTAGCCAGGCCCTGATCTCAACCTATAGTTATGATCCCAGGCTACCCCACTAGCTACCTACCTGGCCTGTGCTCCAGGCCCAGGCCATGGCTTCATTCATTTCTGATTGATCTTTAATGATCCATGAGTGGCCTCCTGGTTCCCCCTCCCCCAGGGCTGAGAAAGAAACCAAGATCAAGATGGAGAAGGTCATTGAAATCCGGGACCTCACGGCCCAGATCATGAACATCAAAAGGTAGAGTACAGGGGGTACCTTTCCCTGTCACTTCTCTGGAGCCAAGGGCCGCTTAGGAACACAAAGGCCTTTCAAGAACTGAAACCCTGTGGGAGGCTGTGGTCTGTTTTATGGGTGTTGATGAAGCTGAGATTCAGTGGCTCTCCTGAGGCCACACCATTAGGACACAGGACCACTGTGGCCCAGGCTGAGAGCAGCAGGCAGAGTTCCCATGGATAAGAACCCTGGAGGTCACAGAGGGTCACAACTCAGGAAACCCTGAGTGTTCTGGTCCCTGCAGGGCAAGGTTCTTTCCCAGCTGCTCCCAGCTAGGGCTTGATGATGGACACTGCCTAACTTTCTGCATCCCTCCCTGGACCCAGTGAAATCTCTAAATTCGAAGACACTTTGCAACATTACAAGATCTACAAGGATTTCCTGTATAAGCTGTCACCCAAGGAGTGGCTGGAAGAGCAGGAGGAGAAGCGCCTGGCTCTCAGAAAGGCCAAGGAGCCTGGGGAGTTCACCAAGGACAGCAGCATGGCCACCTTATTAGGGGACAGAGGTGGGGCCAAGATAAGGGTGTCCCCCAAGGGTGGGCTCTGAGAGTGGTGCAGAGAGCCTGTGCCCAGCTTGAAGGGACCCTGTTTGTACAGGGCCCCATGTGGTCCTTTATGTCGTGGATGGCTCCACACATAGAAATACCCACTTTGAACACCCAGGAGCTCAACTGGAGCCTTCCCACAGGGCCCTGGGCTTTCCAGGTGGATCAAGGGCTCTCCTCCTAAGCATCTCCCTCCCTCTCTTCCTCCTGGGCTGAGGGCCTGAATTACCAGTGAGGTCTGGGCCCAGCAGTAGTCCTATGGGGTTCTCTTTTGCTTCTTGTAGGGTCTACCAATAAGAGCAAGACAGCTTTGCTGTGGAAAGGTATGGCTGCCCCAATCCAGAGGGGACCCACCCTCATGCCAGGGACACACACAAACCTTCTCCTTTCCCCACAGAGGTTCAGAGCTTGAAGAAGCCCTCAAAAGTTACACGGTCTGGGCAGGTTCCTTCCAGCACTCAGAGCCTCCCGCAGGTTGGTCAGTCCAGCCAGCCCAGCCTGTACAGCGAGCTGGACTCCAGGATGTGAGTGGTTTCCAGGGGCGTTGGGGAAGCAAAGGCCACTGAAGGAGACAGCCAGGCTGGCAGGGTCACAGGGGAAGGACAAGGAATTTCATGTGGCTCTGGGGCAGGGCAAGGAGAGGGAAACCAGCTGAGGGTTATTCCCCAGAGCTGCCTAGGGTGTCTGGTTTTTGCCCTGAGGTGACTGAGGTAGTTAGTAGCCCCAGTGTGACACATAATAGAGGGGAGTGGGTGGGGCTGGAGGGGTTGTTCCTCACTGGATGTACCAGGGGCAGCTTTTCCTGTCTGGAGGCTATCCTTTGGAGGTCAGCATGTCAGAGTTCCAGAATATTGGGGAAAAAACTACAGGGTCACTGCTGGGCCAAGTAGTATCCGTGTTTTAGTGACATTTTCCTGATGACAAATTCCTGTCTTGGCACTGGGTGTTCTCGTTTTCTCATCTTTCTATTGGCTAGTTGGTTCCCTCTGTCAGTCCTCTGTTGGCTCTTTATACGACTTGGTGGTATTCTGACGTCACATCTTCAATATTGCTTTTTGAGAAAAATTAATTTCAATAATGCCATGCTACCAACCTTTGCACTTATGGTGGGTGCATCTCATACCCTTTCTTAAGAAATCTCTGCCGGCCCTGGAGTGCGTTTGTGCTGCAAGTGTCAGTGCACTGGTGTGGATGTGGGCATCTGGGATGAGAAATGGGTACTTCCTCAGTAGCAGTCCCAATCTCTGCTCCTCTTCCCATGCCCCATCTTCTGTCTTCCCCTGCTCCAGGACCATCTGGACCCCCTTCTCGGTTCTGCACGCTGTATCCCTTTCCCAGTGTCTGCATAGGGTACCCTCAGCTGCTCAACTTCCCAATTATGGTTTTTGGGCTGTGGGAAACTCCTGCTTTCCCTTCTTGTAGGCATCTTTTCTTCTTGTGCGTGGTGGTTTTGTGCATCTTGGAGATAGATTTGCCACCATCAGTGAAATGGATGCATGTTGACTGGTGATGCTGGCTGGGAGCCTGATGCAGAGGCTCCAAGAGGTCAGAGCGCAATGCAATGCCAGCTACCTACTAAGGTTACTTCAGCCCTGAACTCTGTGTTGGGAGAACTGAGGATACAGCTCCTGACCACGCTGGCCTGGCATTGAACCCTGGTCCCTTTCCCTGTCAGTAAGGACAGGCTTCCACCTTTGACCTTGTATCTGGCAAATTTATAGTACTCAGGGTATATGGTCTATAATCTAGGCACACAGACTGAACACCTACTGATCACAAATCCTAAAGGAATTTAAAGAACTTTCTGGTACATATACACTTTCACCATTAAAAGAAAAGTCAAATTTGCATATGAGATGGGTGTGCTTGTTTATAATTACATGAATAATTACATATCTTGGCTGGATAGTTAATACTGCCTGATGCAGATCATCTTCAGTATTTTTCAGTTGATCAGTTTTTGATTTTATAATCACCAATGCTGAGAACACCATTTTGCATAAACATAGTATGCCAGAGGCATGCTTAGGGCCATCCCAAAGATATAATTTGATGCATACTAAGGAATGATTATAAGAAAATACTTTTTGTTTTCTGTAATTAAAACATTATGTTTCTATGAGAGCAGACACTTTGGATGCACAGTAAAAACCCTGCAGCTTGCAATGTAGTCTTGAGCCTGAACCTCAGATCTGAGTCAAGGTGTTCCAGACAGCATTATTGGTGGAGTATGGTGTAACAGCATGCACAGTGCGAAGTGCACATGTGTGCTCAGAACCAAGTCTGTAGTGAACTCACAATGCACCATGGGTGAGCACTGTCAAAAACACCCCAGATTATTATACTTTGATTTCTAATTAATTTCTCGTCATTGCATGTTAGGAGACCTTTCATTGTTGCTCATTTTTTCCCATAATTCTCATATTTAGCTATACAACCCCACATGGGGTTGTGACCCACAGTTTAAGAAGCTGGGAGCCAGCTAGGTAGTGGTGGTACACGTCTTTAATCCCAGCACTCGGGAGGCAGAGGCAGGCAGATCTCTGTGAGTTAGAGGCCAGTCTGGTCAACAAGAGCTAGTTCCAGGACAGCCAGGATTACACAGAGAAACCCTGTCTCGAAAAACAAAATAAAAAGTGTGTGTGTGTGTGTGTGTGTTGAACACAATTGGATGGATTGTGAGCTTCACAAGGTCACAACTGAGAAGACCATATCCTTTTGAAGGGTGGATTAAAGGCAGGGGGGCTCAGCAGTCTCCTGAAGTACCTGGAGTCAGTGGCTGAGCTGTGCTACCGCCAAATTCCTCATTTGTAACAAGGCCACAGAAGGTGCAGGGGTGAGGCATAGACAACTTTTTGTGCTCGTAGAGTGCTACACACCAGTGTATTTCCATTTCCACCTCAGGTTCCTGGGCATCAGGCAGTAAGCTGACCCCACCTGTTCCCCATACAACACAGGGGTACCTCCTGAGCCCAGCCCAGCTGTGGGGGCTACTGGGAAGGGCTGGGAAGCATGTGGAGGTGGGTTCCATACAGTGCTGAGGCCATGCAGCCTCTTTGCACCCGTGTGAGCTGTCTCATGACAGTCCCTGCCCTGTGTGGTGCTGCTTGGAGTCAGCTTGGAAGAGCTTGGTATGCCCAATGGCTGTGAGTGGGGCATATAACCAGACCCAATCCAGGTGACCTCAGGGTGCACTCAGAAAATGAATGGTAAGTAGGAAGGTAAGTACAATGGAAGTGAGGGCCTGCACCTAGAGAGAGGGCTGACAAATCAGGGGAGAGTAATGGACCAGGAGAAGTTAGTCTTGTTCTAATTGGAGACCAATGACTGAATTTTGAGTGTTTCTTGGCTGTGGGACCTTAATGGGGGCTGGTGTTACATCTGGTCAATATGGGGGAAGGGGGAGGGAACACTCTTCATCCATATCTTTTGTCCTTTGACAGCCTCTCCTCCGCCCTACCACTTGTAGCCTAGTCTGGCCCAGGAGCTCTGACCCCACTGTCTGTCCTCAGATCAAGCTCTACGGTGCCATCACAAGACGACACTGACAGCGATGGGGAGGTCTGTGGCTGGGCTCTCTCCCCTCTTATCAAATACTCTACACTGCCCACCAGGCCCTGTCCTATACGTTACCCTCTGTCTACCCCTCACAGGAGTTGGCACTGTACTTCACTGAGCCCCAGCAGCTCTTGGATGTCTTCACACAGCTGGAGGAACAGAACCTGTCACTCATTCAGAACACACAGGAGATGGAAGAGACCTTGGATGATTTGAATGTCACTCTGAAAAACACCCAGATCCGCATGTAGGTTGCCATGCTGTCCCCACTTGTCACTCCTGCCCCACTGAACTATCAGCTGTCCCCTTCCTTGCACAGAGTCTGGGTAGATACCAGGACTTTGGAGCCTCCTTCAATCAGAAGGCAGCATTGAGGACCTCCCATTCAGCCCTTCTGCCATTAACCCAGGCCGTGGGAAGCCAGCCCTGCCATGTGGAAGGCCACCTAGAGCATGGTTTGGAAGCGGCTGGAAGCTGGTCTTCATGACATTTCAGTTATGGAGAAGTATTAGAGGCCTTCACAACACACCCTTGGCCCCCAGGCTGTGAGGGAAGGAAGATCTGTCTTGTGGGGATCTGCAGCATTTGTGTGGACACCAAGCAGCAGAGGTGCAGCTGCATGGGAAGGCATAGGGCCACCTGAGAGGCCAGAGCCAGTCTGGGATGGTTGGGGCCTGGGAAGACAGATCTGTCAAAGCCTGGCTAGCACAGTGAAGACCCAGGACTCTGGAAAGACCCTAAGGAAACCCAGGATCCTAGGTGTAGCCAGCAAGGCAGCAGGGGAGGCAGAAGCTGGTCTCACTGGATGCTCAGGCCCATAATCTTTGCTATAGGGTGTGGCTACCAGTCATCCCATCCCAGTTTCTCCTGCTGGTCCATTCCAGAGCCCAAGGGGGCTGAGTAGGGAAGGCTGGGCTAGGATACTGGGTGGGGGCGGTATTGTTCAGGCTCATCCTCCAAGTCCCTAAACTCTGAGCAACTTTTCTGGGTGGGCCCAAGACCTGCAAGGATCAGGCTGGGCCTGCCCATGGGAGCTTTTGCTGGATGGCAGCAGACAGCAGACAGACCCATACATTGACTGGTAGGAAGAAGACAAAGTGAGTAATGTGAGGGGCAGGTGACATCAGGTAAGGGGCAGGCAAGAAAGCACTGTGTGGACCAGTACTCTGCTGGGGAACAGGGAGGATCCAGCCACCCAGAGGCTCAGGAAAGACAGGCAGCTCAGGCAACAGAAGCAGCCAGGGCCTAGGTCCCGATCCAGCTGAGGCTTCAGTGTCCAGACAGGGAGCCATGTTCCTCATAACTCACCTTACTGATCCAGCATAGCTACCTCCAGAATGACATGGAAGTACTAGTTGTTAAGCAACACAGTTTTCTGGAAGCCTGGTAGGGGCTGGAGGCACAAGGAGATACTCTGTAGAGAGGCCAAGAGCCTCTCAGAATCCCAGAGGACCTGCTCTCCCTCAATACAGCCAGTCATTCATGCTCCTAGCAGGACACAGGTGATAGGCAACAGCTATCCCAGGAACACCCACATGTGGTTTCTGAGGCAAAGCCCATGAACTCAGCTCCCTTTCTTAGGAAAAGAAAATCAGAAAACAGCTTGTGAGAAAATGATTAAAGAAACTGAATGGATAATAAATTTAGCAAAAGAGTCTTAGATAACAGATAACTCTGCAGAACATTTAAAGGGTTAAGGGGATGGCTTAGTAAAGTGCGTGCCTTGCAAGAAGGAAGACCTGTGTTTGATTCCCAACTCTCTCTCCCTCACTCCCCCCACCTCTCTATATATGGCTAAATACATAATGGCTATTACATACATACATACATACATACATACATACATACATACATACATAATACATACTGGCTATCTATATATGCTAGGCATCATGATATGCATTTATAACTATGGCTTTGGGAAGGAAGGAGCAGGGAATCCCTGGGACTTGCTGGCCAGCAGGCCTAGCTCACTGACAAGCCCCAGGCATGAGAGACCCCTGTCTCAAAACACAGACAGCATACATTCACACATTTAAGGGAGAAAGGATGACACTCCTCAGTCATCTCCAAAAGACAGAAGAGGAGGAATACTCCAGCATGGCCTTGATGCCAAGTCAGCCAGATAGCTCAGGAGAGAGGGGTTCAGAGCAGGGTGTTTTATCACTGTAGATATGAAGACCTCAAGGAGATGAAGACAAGTTGAACCCCAATAGTGTGTAAAACGACACCATGGATCACAAATTAGGAACAGAATGGAATTTCAATTTGGGAAACACCATAAGATCCAAATAGCTAATGATGTTGAGGGCAAGTGACTAGTGGCTTTCCCACTGACACCAGGTGCAAGGGGTGGGTGACTGCTCTTCCTGAACTGTCTTGGAGCTCCACCTCTCTAGGCCTATGGCCTCAGGACAGGGCTCTTCCTACTAGGTTTGTCCAGTGGGAGCCCTGGGTGCTGAGGGAACTGTCTGACTCTGCAGGGACAGAGAAGTCAACATGCTGAAGCAGTGGATCACCACCATGATGATGTCAATCTCCAAGGAGGAGGAGTCAGCAGCAGAGCTGCAGCTCAAAGCCCGCGTCTTCCACTTCGGGGAGTATAAGGGTGACCAGCAGGTAGGGACAGGAGTGTCTCAGGGCAGGGTCCAGGCCCAGAACCTTAGGCCCTGCCCACTTCCTGTCTCTGGGTGCTTGGTGTGGCATGTGCCCCAGGGGTCTGCTCACCCGTTTCCTTTCAAGGCCTGCAGGTTTCCCAGACACTTGAGAGTAGGGACCAGGGCCAGGAGCTCAGCACACAAACACAGAAGTATCATTCACTCACTCGGCTTTTAGCTCTTTCTAGACACCAGGCCAGGGGCCCACCTCCTGCTTGGCCAAGAACTACCATGGCCAGGCCTGACTAAGCCTTTTTGCCTGCTGCTGGTCACTGATATCCACTCAGCACCCACATAGCAGTTGCTACCTGCTTTCTGAGTTCATCTACCTTGGGCCTCACAGACTGTGGTCAGTGCATGGCTCCATGGAACAGGGGACTGAGCTTCAATGGGCTTGCTAAGGAAGCTGGAGGAAGGGCTGGGATATGAGATGAGTCAGGTGTGACCATAGGAGCACCAGGACTATTCTGGCTAAGAAAAGCAGGTACCATTGCTCCACCCCACTCTCTTAAGTCCACACTGTGGCTGTTCCATCCTGGCTGGCAAGCCATGATTGCTGGTGTAGGCAGGTGATCACATGTGGGTGAGCAGGGGCCTGCAGCCATGCCACACCGCTGGCCGACTGTCCCCAGGACGAGCTGCTGGAGAGCCTGAACCTCAAGGTGCTAGATGTGTACCGGAAGTGTGTGGGCATGCAGCAGGAGGCCAACCTAGGCACAGTGCAGATGCTGACTGTGGTGGAGCACCAGCTGGACGAGCTGCTAGAGAATCTGGAGCGAGTGCCCCAGGCCAAGATTGAGCAGGCTGAGAAGGCTAAGGAGAGGGAGCGGCGCATGAGGTGAGCCACTGTGCCCAGCCTTCTGTGCAGGGTACTCTAGTCAGTGTCCAGCCTCATGAGTCTCCTGACCAGAGAGACAGGCTCAGGACTCTGTGATGTGAGGCCAGGCCTCTGTGGGTTCGAGAGGATAGGGCTCATGGGACACAACTATCTGTCAAGTCTGTCTGTCCAAGCATGGTACCACCTCCTCTGGAGCCCCAGCACCTGCTCTAAGACTAATGTCCTAGGTAGATGCCAGGGTGTAGGACTGTGGGTACAGGGATTGAAGACACAAATGTGGACCCAGGAAGACATGCTTTCTGGGGGTGTGTGGTCTGAACCAGGTCACCCTCAAGGCCAGCATGGTGTCTACATAGCCCTATCTGCCTTCCCCCTGAAAGCTTTGAAAGGGCAGAGGGGGCATTTTCTACATGTGGGAGGGCATGGGCTGACCTGGAGCCTGGGTGGAAAAAGGAGATTCCTCCCAGGCTCTGGTCCCTGTAAGCCATCTCTTGTCTCCAGGCTTCGTGAAGAGAAGGTCAGGATGCAGAGGGAGCTGCAGGAGGAGCGGCTGCAACGGGCTCGAGCCAGGGCCCAAGCTGAAATAAAAAAGAAGGTGAGGGGTGGTAAAGGTACACTCTAGGCGTGTACCTCCTAGGCTCTCCAGCCTGAGCTCCAAGGCTTCCCTCCCTGAAAGACAGCAAATCACTCTGCTGAACAAACAGACAGTTGCTTGCAGTGCCAAGCTGGAGTGGAGCAGTCTCCAAAGCCAGGCACTTTTAGTGCCCTGCCCTAGGGCTTTCCTCACCAGAACCAATCCCCCAGATGTGCTACTCACAACACCCCTGCCAAGTGCAGATGCTCAACCACAGAATTCACACCAATATCCAGCCTCAGGGTCCTGTTGCTCTGTCCAACCTCCAGACAGACACTAGGTCAGATAACTGCCTGTTGTTAGGCCAATGTCTTCTGGGTCTCAAGCCCTCACCCCATAGAAAATGAACTGTGACAGCCTTGTGCCTTTTGGATGTGACAGCATAAAGTCTAGCTCTGAAAGCAGGCCTGGAGCCAAGCATGGCTCCTGAGAGACAGAGAAGCTAGTGGGTGTCTATGATACATGACTGCCCATTTCATTGCTTGGGAAGATGAATACTGTTACTAACAAGACTCTTCTAAACATCCCAGTGCCTCATCCAGAAAGAAAGCTGACACATAATTGCCTTCAGAAAATGCAGCTCATTAGGAGAAAGAGCTTCGAGGCCATGATCAGGACTCAGATGGCAGGGAGAGCATTAGACAGAAACAGGACAATATATGGAGGTCTAAACCTAACAGGGCCTTAGCGGGGAGGGGAGGCTTTCTTTTCTAGAGAGGAGCTTCATTAAGAGAAGGGGTTGGGGGGTAGAGAAGAGGAGAGAGAGAGAGAGAGAGAGAGAGAGAGAGAGAGAGAGAGAGAGAGAGAGAGAGAGAGAGAGAGAGAGAGAGAGGAGAGAGAGAGGAGAGAGAGAGAGAGAGAGGAGAGCACATGCTGCCACGAGATGGATTGCAGGGCAGAAGAGCCTCTACCGAGAACCTCCCTAAGCAAATCCAAGAACAAAGGAAGTAGCTACATTTTGGGGGGGCTGGCACAAAGTTTCATCTCACATGATTTAGTTCAATATGTTGTATGTGACAAAGAGCATGCAGGAGTTAGGTATCGGTTAGGACTATCAGTCAAGGGCTGTTGTTGGACATAGAACAGACAGATTAAATCTGTCCCAGAAAGATCACTTTTTAAGAGTGATCACTGACTTTCAGAGGCCTATGTCTAATGTGTTCTGTCACACTGCAGGGTCTCCTGTGGAAGCCCTGTGCTAGGAAATACTTTAGGTCTTGCCCTTGAAAAAGTATGCTCCATGGAGCTGGCATGGTAACTGCTGGGCTGACCCACACTCCAGGTCTCTTTAGTCAGTACCACCCTTGAGTGTCTGGTCTGCCTGACCATGCTTTGCTGGCCACTTCCTGAACCCTGCAGCAGGGAATGTGGGAAGTATGGCAGCTTCATAGTCAGCATAGGCTCACCATGTTTATTGCCCTTGCAGAGAGGCAGGAGATTGGTATGCCGCTCCCGTCCACCAGTCATCAGAATAAAGGAGGTGTCTGAGCACTCGATGATGGACAAAGACAAGGAGGAGATGCTCTTCTTCTTCACTTAACAGCTGAGGGCTGAGGGCTCAGGAAGAGGTCAGTAGCTAGTCAAGACAGGGACTGTGAGCCTGAGGGATCCCTAACTCCATCTCATGCTCTCCTGTCAGCCTCCTTACTCACAGGAAATAAATCATGTCTCTTGGGAGTCTGAGTAACCTGCTGAAGGAACCCTCTTGGAACCCCTCTTTTGTCATTTCATCCAAAGCATGTTGGAAGGAACACCAACCTGGTTCTAATCAGAAATAGCTTCTTGGAGAGAAGCCCAAAACCTGTCTCCAAGGAGGGCAGGGTGTCACTGGCCCTTGGAAACAAAAGAACTGGTAGCCAGTGGGGCAGAAGGGGCAAGAGTCTCAATAGCACGCACAGTGCCATGAATGAAACCAAAGCAAAACCTTTGATACATGACATACAAACACTTTTATTCATTTGTACTGAGTCAGGCCCATGGCAGCAAGCTCCAGTGCTCAGAACACAACAGCCCACCCTATCACTTGGCAGACACACTGGAGGCCGTGGGAGAAGGAAACTTCTCTGTGGAGTGGGCTCTTGAGGCTGGTAACAGTGGTACCAGGCTGCTCAGGGAGTGGGGACAACCCTGATGACAAGTGGGTAAGTTCAGCCCCGAAATTTTGGCCTGTGATGCAGGAGAGACCCGTGGAAAGGAACTTCTCAAGTAGGATTTGTAATCCCCTTGTAGGGAGCAGCACCTAGGCAGGTGGCACCACAGAGCCATCCAGAGAAGACTCATACCCAAACTCAGGGCCCAGGCCGAACCCAAGAAACAAAGAAACTCAGATGGGGCAGAACCAAAACACTATCTGAATAAGTACTCACTCCAAAAGGCCCAGGAAAAATGCATTTCTGAGTGACCCTGTATCCAGTCTTAACTAACAAATAAATATGTGCAAGGCAACCATCTCCTCTGGGAAGACAGAATCACACTGTGAAAACACACAAGGCCAAGGCCACATAATATGATTTTCTTTAACCTCAACCATAAAACATGCCTATCATTCCAGTCCTACGCATAACATACAGCATCCAGAACCTCACTGTAGAGACTGAAGACAAGTTACTATTTATCAAGAATCCCAAATACAGAATTTAGAAAAATGACTTTAAAAGCCTCAACTCTTCATTGCCAAACTATGAGCCACATAGTCAGTCTA